CTGATCTTTCCTTGTAAAGGAGCAGGCAGGTCAGCGGTCATCCAGTCATCTCCTAATCCCCCCGGCGCTGTGAGGCAGGGAAAGACTTTACTCACAATGTAAACCCACAAAAACACATGGCACATACAGTACATAGGAGATGTACCAAGCTCAGTCAGTGCTCTGCTTCAGCATAGCTGAGTTGTGTGTCCATTTCAAAAGGTAGACGGCAAGTCTTTTCCTGAGCAGAGCAGCATATTTAGCAAGATTAAATGCAGTCAAGAAAAAGTAATTCTGCTGTTTGCAATTTCCTGGTTTTCTGCATAAATTAGTCATGAAATATGATCTGATCTTCACCAAAGTCACAAATATAACTAAATTCTCACAGGTATGCCTATGCATCCTTTATACTGCCTTCACCACCTCTTTTCCAGTCTTTTGCAAGCAGCTTTTTGCACTGAATCATTCAGAAAAGCACTTTCATACTGTGCACTCCTATTTGAACAGTAGAGCAGTGGATGCTGTCATTACTGTTGCTTGGCAGTTTCCAGTGAGACAACTCTGTGCTCAGTGGTACACTTTCTAAGCATGTGAGCTTGCTTTGTCACCTAGTGCCTCCAGTGGAGTCACAGTCTTCTTCTCTTTTGTTGATGCACCATCCTAGTAAGCTGCAATTTGAATAGAATAATGAATATAACAAAGCAGTTGGGTGCTTATTTTTATTTGGGTTTTTCTTTCATTTGTGTTTACATCAGAGATTTGTATCTTGTCCTCTGAGACAAGACAGTACAGTGTAGTAATTATGACTCATAGGTTTCTCTCTGGAAGCATTCAGTGCAGTTGTCTTTTGTCTGGGTTGCACTGTTGTAGTCAGGGGATTCTCTAAAATCCCTGCAGCATTTCCCCACATCAAAGTGGCTGTTACCGTTGCTTGCCTTGACAGTCTGTCACTAGATAATCTTGACCTAGCTTGTCTGGCCCGCTGTCATGGCTTCTGTTTTTTATAATTTCATTCAGCCATGGATTTATCATGGATTATCTCTCTCCTATATTGCCTTTGTGAATCAGTCCGATTTGTTAAATAAAAGATTTGAGTACTCTCTAGTCTGATGAGAAGGTATTTCCTTCATGACTACATCGAGAACTGCTGCAAAAGATTGTTTTGCAATTTGATCATGCTCTAATTAAAATCATTGCACTTAACATTAGAACCATAATTTCATTTAACAGCATTTGCCAGAGGTTGAAGGAACTTCAGTTTAAACACCCAAGAAATACTTTGTTACGGAACAACTTACTGGCAACCTCACTAAGTCTACTCATTTTTTCCACCTACAGTATCTGCTCCACTTCAGCATTAGTGGCTTTTTAAATTTGCTACAGTCCACTCAAACATATAGAGTAATCTGTCAGTCAACCAAAAGTTTGTAATGCTCATAACATCTGAACCTCGGTCTTGGCCCGGCCCGGCCCTGCCAGGCCTGTCCTTATCCTGTTTTACGTAGTTCTTTTCCTGCTGTTCCTCAGTAACACAGCCTGATCTCAGGTCAGAGAGGTCACGGTGTATGAGCAGACATCTGGACCGGCAAACTGGTCCCATCATTGCCACAGGGAATCAGAGGAGTCAGTTATAACAGTGTGAGAAAGAATCCAGGATGACAGAAGTATGCTGTAGCTCTTTTAACAACCAGAGTAACTTTTTCTCTTTTATCCACAACAAAGCTGGCTTTTTAATCTGGGCTGTTCCAGGTCCAGTGGGGCTAAAGAGCTGGTGGATGCAACTTGGCCTGGGCCAGATTAAGCCCTGGCAGCATGCTGTGTTGCAAGCACCAGAAGTTTATCACTTCCCTTCTGTTTGCATCTTCTTCCTCTTGACTTTATTGCCCTATCATGATGTCCAAAGGTCTGTCTTTATTGGCCCCCTCCTGCCACATCCACACACTTTTTTCCTTCACAGTTTTATCATAGAGTAGATACAGTCTGCCAGTTTTAGTTTTGTTTGCTCTTATTTCATTTTGTTGTGCAAAAATGGAGGTCAGTTAAATTTATTACATTACATTTATTTTGCTGATTCTTTGGGCAGAATTGAGATATGAAAGCTGCAAACCACATAGTAGCAAGAGCTAGATATCGTCAAAATACTAAATAACCAAAGACTTCCTTAGTGGTACAGTACAAGTGCTTGGACATCAAGTGTCATAATCCTTGGTTTTATACTCCTTTTGTTAGTGACAACACATTGTACTCAGTGAAAGTCAGTTAGCACTGTTGTCAAAACAAGCAGCCACTGGATCCATCCGGGGCTCTTTTTTTATTTTTGGTTACACTCTTTTACCCAGAAATGCGATTAGGTGGCTAATGTCATGATTGGCTGCATTTGCCATGATTGACCGTTTAGCTCAGAAAGGTGCTCTTGACCTTTTCTACCAATGCAATGCACTTTTAACATCTTTATGATCCTGCTTATTAAAATTGTATAGCTGTGGAAAAAAAGATTTCCCCATTATATTGCCTTCTGGGTTGTCCTATGCACTTCAGATCTAACATGAGAAATTGCTCAGCTTTCATCCCTCCCTCCTAGTGATTCAGTTCTTCTCTTTTTTTCAGTCATATTTTATTTATCTCTGTCTTTGTCAGAGCTCTTGGCATGCCAAGAGGGAAGGCATGAGTAGATCAAGGTTCTCACTGTAGCAGCCAATCCAAATACACAGCAACACACGAGTCATATTAATCATACTTGGAGAAAAATTCTTACTCTGAAACATTGCAAAATAACAGATAGCTCAAGATAGCTACCTGTTGTAGAGTACAACATTGCAAAATAGCAGATAGCTTAAGATAGCTACCTGTTGTAGAGTAGGTGATCACTTCTTTATATTGGATTTTCATTTATAATGTCAAGCTGTCTCAATAGCTCATATCAGTCCTTCTGCACCCTCAATTTTAAAGTGAGCGCCATTGAGGAATACTCTCATTTAATAAGGCATATTTTAAGAGGCCTAAAAAGCTTGGCTTGCCCTTTTAAAAAGTAACCCTCTGCCTTTTGATCAACCCAGGCCCCTGCCCTTTCCCATATGCATTTTTTAACACCATCATTAATGAGCCTCATGTCAACCTCTTGTTTTCTCTGAGGTGACAGCCCTTCTTGTTGGTCCCCGGTTCAAGCCCATTACCACTAGGGTCTATGAGCAGACACAGCACTCAAACACTTTGCTCCTGACCATAAAAAAAGAAAGGAAGTTGGGCCTGCTATACCACCCTCATTTACCTTTTTGACTTCTTTGTGGATGCCTAGAATTTGTACTTTTATAGGCAGTGGGGGTCAGATGGACAAGGTCCTCAGGATTATTTACTTCTGAGCATTTGTCTCTCTCACAGGAGCACCAACATGCCCTCGCCTTCACCTTCACCCATACACCTCTGGGCCTGTAAAGCACAAACATGGGGAGAGTGGGGTTGTGGGTAAGGAACAAAGGGAGTGTGTCTTGATGAGCTCGTAGATCTCATCAACTCTGAGTATACTCTGTCTCCAATAGCTTGTGCTGATGATTGAAGGAATTGCTCAGTGTTGTGTTTTAAAGAAGCGCCGTGGTTTTACTTCTGTCTTTCATCAGCAGAGTTTACGATCTGCATATCTGACTCCAAGGCCAAGTGAATCTGCCAGAGCCATGGAGGTTATCTTTTGTTCTTTTTCAATCAATCTCCTTATTCACTTATTAAAAATGTTAATGTTTGTACAGATCACCTTACATAGGACACTTAACCAGGACTGCTTTGAGGCTTATTTTCTGCTGTTGGTTGCTGTGAAAAGAGACATTAGGAACTTCCAAGCCAGGACCCTGACAGTTCCCCTGCTGCCACAAGTTCTTCTGGTCTTCCTTATTATCTCCAACTCTCTGGGTCTTGCTATTTGGTCCCTGGCTTTTATGGTAGGGTAGGAGAAGGCCATGAGGAAATGAGGTAACCCCAGGGTCACGAGTGGAGTTGGGGCTGGAACCGGACCACGGCTGTGCCAACCTCACTCTCTCAGGGCTGGTTTGGGAGACTGATGACAGGGTCCCTTCCATCCTTGACCCCAGAGTCATATGCCTTTAATTAAGCCAAATCTGAATTTGTTTACAAGCCCCAGTAGTCTTAAATCTTCTTCCCCCCATCCCACCATCACCTCATACCTTGACAACTCCTTTTCTTCTTCTCTTTAATACAGTGTCAGACATCTTACTTATTGTGCTGTTTTAACTGATTATTCAGCAACAGGTTACAAGCTATTAGGGAATTGACCAAATGAGATTTGAAGGACACCCCTTTAACATGTTAAATGTGTTAGAGATATGAAAGGCAGCTCACCCCACTTAAGACACTCATACCCCTCCACTGAAATCTGGGAGCTCTCCACCGGGAACTTGCATAGACAATTTGTTGCTGACCTTGTGACCTGCCACTTGAAGCATATGAAAAGGGGATCTTTCTCTTGTCCTGGTTACTCACACTCTTGTCACCTCTGCCTCTGTTTTTACCCTGATCCTTTGTCTGATATACAACAAAGTCCGTCATATAAAAAATTTACATTTTACTGTAGAGGCCTTACAACTGGCTTACTCCTGTTAGCTGCTGAAAAGCTTGCTGCAGAAAGCCTGGTCCTGTGGAGTTGGGTGGCTAATTGGATAAGTTAGGTTAAACAAATGTTTGAGTTCTCCCCTGCACTGGGGGGACCTGGCCATCGGAGCCTAACATCTTAACAGAGAAGGGGGAAAAAAAGGTTGATGAAAGCGAGGGGAGGAATACAAGGAAGGAAATGAGCTCATTTATGTTAAAGATCAAATTTGTCTGCATGTATTTACACACAGGTGTCACAGTGCAATTTGCACAGACAGTGAGCACAATAAATAAAACTAAATCATTAACAACATTAGGATAATGGTGACTAAGTCCAATACAGAGTAAAACTAGTTTGAACTTTAGAGCAGATGCATGTGGTACTTGCAGTGATAGAAGCCTTAATAAGAAATTTGTCATTGCAGGTTCCAGATCCAACGGGGAACCAGTGACCCCACCAGCTACAAGAGTCTGAATGATTGCTTCCGGACCATCTTCCGAAAAGAGGGGTAGGTTATAGTACAGGACAAAAAAAAGGGGGGGGGGGTACAATTTCTTTATCATCACAAGATAGGCTTGGGAAGAGGTATTGTCCCAGTCACAGTGGTCGTATACAAGTGGGGAAAAAATGTATTTTGAATGACATTTATATATAAAACCAAAACGAATAACATTCACATCTAAAGACAGTCATTCTTCCATGATCCCACCTCCTCTGCCTGCTTTGTGACAAGTCCGTGAGACATTGCAGGCATAGGAGAAAGTGGCTGGCACTCGCTCCGCAGCAGCTTTACAGCAGATATAAAGTTGATCTGCTGTGAGGTGTGAGTAAGCATAGGGTGGGCGGCTGGCTAGTGACGGTTGGTAATCCTCTGCTGGCTGTAGTTCAACAGACAGCTATTCTGATACAGTAGCCATGCCCATGTCACCCCACACAAACCCACACACACACAATGCATACTTTGAAATTTAATGCCTTCACACCTGCGTGCTTTTTGGGAGTAGGCCTGCATTCATTTACAGAGAAGTCTGATACTGTAAGATGGTTGCCAAATTACACAGCATCCACACCATCAACCATGACATCAATTTGACCATAAGCTCATGCAGCAAAGTCATGTGACAAACAGTCCCTACAGGTGGAATATCTACTTTCGTGCCGACCAATTATCTCTCAGTATATATTTCTGAGCCTGTAATCACTCCCCAGTAGCACCGTGAGGACTAACTCCAGGCCAAAGCACTTAACTATAATTTATACAGATAGTGTTGGGCTCCACTGTTGTAGAATTATTATTAAAAATAAACATCTCCGGTCAGCTCGTGGCAGGCCCGAGCTAGCGGCAGGCCTCAGTCTCACTCTGAGGTGATTAGGGAGGAAACCTGAGCTCTGTTTGAGCTTGGTGATTACACTGAAGAAAGACATGGAAATGTGCACATGTGACCTCAACTTTAGGACACTCTGAAGCCTGGATACAAATTAGACCTCGAGACTTTATATACATATTATTTATGTTAACTCACAGTTTTACACTAGGTTGTTTTTAAATGTGGAAAATCTAGCATGAAATCTTCTAGCTGTGCACATAATTGTGTGACAGTATGAGCTATGCTCACCAACACTTTGGTTGCGTATTGCCTTACAGGCTATGCTTCATTTTCTGTTACATGTGGGTGCAGCAGCATGAGCATGTGTTAAGTGTTTCCGTCTGGAGGCAAACAGAAAGACTATTCTCAAGCATTCTTTACCAGTGTGGTATCCAGTAACTGGGTCGGGACCCAAAGCACGGCCACAGGATTATTAAAAGGGTCCATGCATTACAACAGAGCTCAGTGGCTTGCATACAGCAGCTCAATGAGAAATGCCTGTACATGTTTTTTTTTTTTTGAGGGGGGTGGTCTGCAGCTGGGACCACACATGCAAATCAATATAGAAGTATGAAGAAGTGCAGAAGAGCATGTCCACCAGATTGCGTATGCTTTGCTATGGTGAATGAAGTTGCAATCAAGCTGCATATGGTTGTTTACAGTGTTCAAGTTGTAGAATTTGAATCAGAAATACAGAATGCTCCATCGTAGACTTGTAAAGCTGTTGGGCAGAATTTCAGTTTTCGAATTTCAAGAAACGACACAAGCGGACAGGAAAAGTGCAGAACAATTTGTAAATACTGTTGGACAAAGGCAATACTAGCCCCGTTTAAGATTGAGACACTCCTGGATACATATCGCAGAAACAGGAACTGCTGTGCACTACACTTAAATGGAGTTGGTCAAAACAAGCCAGACACACAAATGCACTTCAGGAGGCCAGTGACCACCCTTGAAATCAAAAATTTACCTGGACGTTTGGAAAAACACCTCCACTACAGCACCATTCTCACCTTTATGTGGCTTGTCCTAGTGTATTTTGGCATCTTCGTCTCTTCATTCTGGTGCACCAAGCAGCAGTTTGCTCAAAACTGTCCCCAGCGTTCGGGGTGATATGTGCTTCAACTCGTCCAGTACTGAGAACCCGACCGCTGGACGGCACAGCCACCAAACAGAAAAAGTTAATCCTGCCTAGGGTGGGTGAATGAATGAATATTTGATCACCCAAAAACATGAACTGTATGTACTAGATGTGCTCTTATAGCAGAAAAGAAATTTAAATTTAAGGAATCTAAATAATTTGCTGTTAACTCACCCCAGTACCCCTGCCACCAAGTCAGTCAGTTAGTCATCACTAAGACATAGACTGGTGAATAAAAAAATGTTTTTGCCTCACAACATGCACTCTACACCATAGTGAGTAATGCATAAAGTAGAGAAACATGTTATCTGTACCTTTTACCCAGAGGATCCTGACAACTGGTGATTCTGTTTTATTGTCCCTGTCAGTAACAATGGCAAGGTTACAGTAGACAATGGTGAAAGTGAAAATATTTGCAGTTGAGACATGCTTCCTGTTCACTTATTAAAAACTCCCCTGGGGCAGCTCATATATTTCAAGGATTTCCTTCATGGCAATGATGTGAAAATTAGCACAAAATTCTGCCGCGCTCTCAAGTCAACTGAACATTTCTACTGTTAGGAAGTGAGAGGCTGTGCCTGACATACAGTATATCATTGGCCAGTTTGTTTAATCAGATGTGTCTGTGTGGTTCGCACAGTGCTAAGCTCCTCTCCAGATGGTTGGAGGCTGTTAAAAAAGGAAAGGTTTATGAAAATGAAAGACAAATCATACACACAAGTGCATACAAACACACACCGACATGCACACATGTATCCAGTCCAACCCTCTACCCCACACAGTGCATCAGGAGGCCATTTGTTTTGAAAAGCCAAAAAGGGATTTAGTGTGTACTTTACATTGGAAATCAAATTAGGATTCAAATGAATGCCACTGACTAGAGGCCATATTTGTTCTGTAAGAAATTTCACTCCACCTTCATCACCTGGTGGCTCCCCAGTCTGACCACACCCAGGAAATCTGTGGCCACCATTTGCATGGACAAAGAGAGCACAGGGAAGGGCCTTCCGTCTGACTGAAATAACTTGTTTACACAAACAATACAAGGAATTCAGTTTTGGTTTCTAGGAGGGGGTTTCCTCAGCCATAATCCCATACACTACCATTATTATGATGGATCAATTTCTGAGAGCCACTACCACTTCTGTAACTTGATGAAATAGTGGCTCTGTCACCTGATGACAAGTGTTTGGATAGTTAGTTGCGGTTCACTGTACTTTTAGGAAGGCGGCCTTGCTACTGTGGATTCTGTGAAAGTGTAATGAGCTGTCCTTCTCAGGTTGTGTTTAGTGGAAATGTGTGCCAGCAGTGAAAATATTTACACTTGGATCCCATCAACCAAGATCATCTTGGTTGACTTGTATAGAATGTTGCCACAACAGAACTTGTGCCGCTATTCACAGGATACAGTCGATCATGCCACGTTGTCTTCTTTGTCCACAGATCTGTGTTCAATATAAATATACACTCCCTCATACTTTCTCTACGTCACCTGCGTGCAACTTAGTCAACAGGTCACTTTGTTTTGGTTGGAAGTAGGCCATGCGGAAGTCTCTGATGCCCCCATTGTAATGGTCTTGTGCAAGCTTACAGATAAATTAAGCCTTTTTTTTTCACTTTGCTTTTGACTTTCATTGTCTTAAATTGATTTAACTTTCAGGATAAGGCCGTTTATATTTTTATTGTTAACACATCCCTAGAAAATACCAAAACCAGCTATGTGTTAGTCCGTCTTTCAGTAATATTTGGTATTTCTCTCATGTGGAGATATCTGCCCCAAGCCCATTTAGTGTTTGTTATAGAAACTATTTTCAGTTGCAAATGCACACACATCTGGTGCTGTGCTGAGTATTTACAGGAGTATTTGGAATTAAGTAAAATAAACTAGTTTCCATGGTCATTATAATTTCACCCAGTCCAAGGGCGCGGCTCATTTATTTATTTAATAGGTTTTTGACAACAATGACACAGAGCGATATGCTATATGAGGCTATGGCTACACACACAGTAGAATTACTTGATAGTGGATCCGTTTATAGAGGTTTTGTACTTTTCATAGGATTTGTTGACAAAAACACATCTAAAAAATTTTGAGAATGAAAGTGGAATCAAAATGATTTTACTCATTAAAGTCTGTTTACAGGAATTGGATATGTGAGAAAAGTGGCTCCAGACTGAGCTGCTACTGAAACTGGAGTTCTATCATGTGATCTAACCATAAGCACTGCTTCTGACTTCATTCATTTGACTTTCAGATTTGAAAATGCAGTGCTTACTACCCAGGAATGTTTGTGATCAACTTGCATATTTAGTGTTTTCTGTGAACGGAATATTTGCTCATGGAAAAATGTCCCATTGCAAGGAACCCAGGAAGTGTAGAAATCTGAAAAGCCTTTAAATAAATGTTTTAAATCCTGGCATAAGAACAGATTTGTTAACTGTTAACACTTTGGTAGAGTTTTCCTGGGATGTCAGCTCTATAGGAAATACACAGAAGTGTTTGTTGTGTTGTTCATAGTCTGACCTCATTGTTAGACATGCTTCAAAATCACACTAACTGAAATTGTTTTTAAACTTATGATTTATATCACAGCTGAGCAGTTTTGACAGAAATATTCCATATGGTGTGTAGGCATAGTGCATGCACAGCTACTGTATTATATAGCCTTGTCCTATTCCCAGTGATTGGTTGTATATAAAAATGGGGGAGATAATTATTAAAGTGACTCCGACGGTGTCTGAAATGCCCTTATTATTTCCAAAATGTGAGAAGATATTGTGATCACTAGTTCTCTTGTTTAAAGATTTAGACCTGCTGTACCTGTTTCACTTAAAACAATCCCTTTAAAACAACATTTAGGAACAAGAACAGTGGAAAGTAGTTTGGTGTTGCCAATGGCAGTTTGTTATCAACACAAAACCTAGTGACTCAGTAATATCTAATGGTACAGGTGTGCTCTGTTTTAGGCCAAGGGCCTAAACCGCACATGCTGCTTTTTCAGTTTATTGTTGCCCACTAATGTTGCAGATAGTTTGACAAAGAGAGTTTGACCAAAGACAGTTTATACAGAAAATATTTGGAAATCAATTAAGAACCTGCATAGTTTTCTTTGATTGACAGTTTGTCTGTTATCATCTGCCTGGTCCTGTTGGTTTAAACTTCATGAATGAAAAACAAATGAGCTATTCCATCTATGTTTTCACTAAACTAAGGAGAGAAGGATATTGGCATATATGCACTTTGAATGTATACAAAACAAGCTTTATGCCCAGTTTGTATGACTGCAAACATAATGTCTTCTGACATGGATTCATGATGGCACCGCAAAGGGCCGCCTCAATTATCTGCTCCCATGTGCTTTTGTTTTTGTTGTTGCCCAGATAACTTTTACTGGAGACGAGCTTCTGAACATTCAATAGCTCAGTCTGGACATCTTTTCTCCTGTTTTTACCAGTAGCGAAAACTGTTTGGACATTTTAGCCAGCCGAGCAGCAGCCCTTCTTGGGGCTTGGAGCAGATCCCTGAGGGGGAGCCGTGCAGGCACCCTGGTAACGCTATGACGGCGGACTTGCCTAACGTCACCCCGGGTATATGTCTTGCAAATCTCTGCTCTCTAGCCAACAAACTTGTCATACTGGTTCTCAACAGTCAGACTAATTCTGACTGGTCACCTTCTGTGGCTTTATGCTTTGTTGAGATGTGGCTCAGCGACTCGATCCCAGATGGGGTCATTCAGCTGCCCGGATTTCAGATCCACAAAGCAGATGATGTAAAGGAGTTAACAGGGAAGATGAGAGAAGGTGGAATCTGCTTCTACATTAAAGTTGGTGTAGGGACATCACAGTGTTATAGAGAACTTGTAATATGGACTTGGAGGCATTATTCGTTAATTGCAAATCATTCTGTTCATCCAGGGAATTTTGCTCATTTATCCTGGTTACTATTTACATTTCACCACAGGCCTGCATTAAAAATGCATTGCAGCTCCGAGCCGACCAGATAACTTGCACAGAACAGGAACATCCAGATTCCCTGCTCTTTATCTTGGGGGATTCTAACAGCACCAACCTTACTCATGAACTGCTTCTCTGAAGAGCCATCATTTGGCAGACAAACTGAATGTGTTCTGCTGCAGGTTTGAGAAGCAGAACTCCACACCCCTCAACCACCTCACCTCAGCAGCTGCCCCCCACCCCTAAAGATGATGTACGTAGCCTTTCAAAAAACAAAAGATCAGAAAAGCACCTGGCCCAGATAATGTGACTCCCTTCTGCCTGAAGACCTGTGCTGATCAGCAAGCCCCCATCTTTACACATATCTTCAACAGACCACTGGAACTGTGTGAAATCCCCTCTTGCTTCAAATACTTCACCATCATCCTGGTCCCCAAGAAACCCTCCATCAGTGGACTGAATGACTACAGCCCTGTCTCTCTGACATTTGTAGTTATGAAGTCTTTTGAGAGACATCTTGGACCCCCCTGCAGTTTGCCTAACAGGCAAACAGGACAGTGGATGATGCAGTCCACATGGCACTGCATTACATCTTGCAACACCTTGACTCTCCAAGGACCTATGGAAGGGTCCTCTTCGTGGACTTCAACTCAGCGTTCAACACCATCATCCCGGACATCTTCCACTCCAGACTCACTGTGCCTGTCCCCACCTGTCAGTGGATCACCAGCTTTCTGACAGACAGGAAGCAGCAGGTGAGGCTGGGAAATACCACATCCAGCACCCAAACTATCAGCACAGGCGCCCCCCAGTGATGTGTGCTCTCTCCACTGCAGTTCTTCCTATACGCTATTGACTGCACCTCTGGGGACACCTGTGTAAAGATCCTGAAGTTAGCAGCTGACAAAACGGTCATCGGTCTCATCCAAGACTATGATGAATCTGGGGCACAGACAGAAAGTTGAACGGCTGGTCCTGTGGTGCAGTCGCAACAACTTGGAGCTGAATACACTGAAAACAGTGGAAATGACAGTGGACATACTCAGCAGCACTGTATCAGCAGTACAGTCCTTCATGCTTGTGGGCTCCAAGATCTCCTGGGACCTGAAGTGGATGTCCAACATCAGATCTATCACCATAAAGGCACAGCAGAGGATGTACTTCCTGCGTCAGCACCGGATGTTCAACCTGCCCCAGGAGCTGCTGATGCAGTTCTACAGAGGAATCATGGAGTCTGTTCTCTGCACTTCCATCACTGTCCGGTTTGGCTGTGCAACCAAACAGGACAGGAACAGACTCCAGTCAGGACTTCAGAAAGAATCATCTGTGCCAGACTGTCCTCCATGGAGGACCTGTACACCTCATGGGTCAAAAGGAGGGCGGAGAGGATCACTGCAGACCCCTCACACCCTGGACATGCAGTCTTTGAACTCCTCCTTTCTGGACAGCGCTGCAGGTCATTGTGCACCAAAATAACAGGACACAAGGACACAACACAACGAAAATGTGTGTGTGTGTGTGTGTGTGTGGGTGTGTGTGTGTATATATATATATATATATATATATATATATATGATCATTGTACATAAAATATGTAGCTCATTTTTAACTTGTATATATGTACATATTTAGAAACAGATGGTCGTCTTGTTACTTGTTTTTCAGTTTTTTTTTTCTGTTTGGTGCACATCAGGGGACACTGAGCTGGAGTCATACTCGGCAATAACGTTTATGATTGAATGATACATCAAAGAATTGTGAGAGTTCATGACTTCTTTTTTTTATTTTTTTAATTTGCCCAAATGCGTAAAGCCTTGTCATCTTCATATATAACAATGTAATATAGTTGTAAAAGCTTTCAGTTTTAGTTTAAGTGAATAATGCACAACTCTGAAAGGTTAAAAACTCTTCAAAAGGAACATCATTAAGATGTTGGTGTACAATTCAGAAACATCAGCTAAGTTTTTCATCCAGTTTTAAGTCTAGTCAGTCTGTCCATTTGCTCTGTAAATATATTTAATAAAATAGATTGCTTACAAAGCACAACCTGTGTAAAATGTAGGGATATGCGTCTCTATCTATCTATCTCACTTTATTATTTGATTATTTTTCCTGCCTCTAAATACACTTTAAATCATGTGTGGACCTATGATTGAGCAAAGGCAAACTACCAAACTGACAAATTATACAGCCACCGTCTTTTGAAATGTCCAGAATATCAAATGCTGAAATAAACTCTTAAACCATTCCCCCCACAAATTCCTGCAGAGCATGTTTACAGTTTGTGGGTTGAAAATATATCTTGGTAGTTATGCTGCCAAACAGCAGCAGTATACTGTCCGTTAACATTTTGAGAGCGTGGCATTAGCTGTATGTATTCAGTATTGCCAGAGACTTGATTGATGCCGTAACCAAATATTTAAGAAAACCTTATTCTACGTGAAAGGACGATACAAGGGTGTTAGCAAATTTAAGCTCCTTAGAGATTAACGCCACTTAATTTATGTCTTTTAAAGGAGTTTTGTCATGTCTGAGAAAAAAAAACTTCATGATATCATTGGGTTTGAGCTTATAACACAAAACCTGTATTATAAACTGAAGGTGTGGAGATTTCAAGACATGGGTGTGTACCTGGCAAGGAGAACCTAGAAGGATTCTGATGGCTGATGGGAGATATAGGATCCAGCTTTTGGGAGTTGGAACTGATAGTGGGGATGTCATGCTACTGCTGCACTGATTTGACCATTATTGTTATAAAACAGTAATAGTCATCAAATGTGTAACATCTTATTTTCTCTCTCTACAGCGTCTTTGGCTTCTACAAAGGAATCTTGCCTCCGATTCTGGCAGAGACACCAAAGAGAGCAGTCAAGGTGAGATAAAGGATGTGCATGTTGCTTCACAAGCTCCTTGGGCTGTGAGGCAACGCTCCATCTCTGGTTTCACTGTGAACTGCTCTGCTAACGTATGAAAACACTTTCAACAGCAGTTGCCCTAACATGATACACACATGTTGATTAAACACATGATGCCATTCGTCACACCAGCCTCCTCCACCACTCCTATTTGCTCTGTTGGCATATCAAATATTGACTTACAAGCATTTAGAGCAATCCTTCCCCAGAGCCTGGTCTTTTGATATTTGTTTTAAAGGGAAGATTATCTCTTGCTTCACACTAACATGTGATGGGGAGACGGGGATGGGAGTGGGTGGAGGGGCGCCAAGGGGGCCTGATGCTTAGCTTGGAGCTATGCTGTTATGAGATGCTGGAGAGAAGGATGTGTGAACTTTGAAAATAAGTACTTACACTGAGAAGATGGGATAATTGCTCACATACGGAACAAAATGGGCTGATGGTGAGAAATGTCTAGTGTGAAGAATAAAATAAATTAAACCTCAGATTAAAACACCTCTGCTGGCATTTTGCACTTTGCCCAGATAAACAAATCAGTGGATGCGTCTCCTTGTAGGAATGTACATTAGTTGTCTTTTTCTACAGAGATTGGGCTCTAAAATTAGCGCTAAAATGCAGCTTGATTTTCATGTGCCTGTTGAGATGATACAGTGCTCAGCCAATTTTCTTTTTTCACCTGAGTGCCTTTAAGGTAACTTGTGCTTTTAATAGTCTGTCTATGTGGGCGTGCAGATGTGCAGAATATGCTGTGACTTTGACAAATCACTTATCCCAGTCTTTCCTCCACAGTTTTTCACCTTTGAGCAGTACAAGAAGTTGCTGAATTTCACCCCTTTGTCTCCTGGTGTCGTGAGTATTAAACACAGCCACCTGAATACGCTCTCACCTGAAAAATAAACACTCGCATGTATGTGCACTAGCAGGAAGAGTGTCAAAAATAACGTTTCAGCTTACCTGCCAAAGGCTGGTAAAACAAAGACAAATGCCAAGACAAATTGATTAATGGAAATGTAAACTCTCCTGTCAGCGTACAGTTTTCACTGCTGTTTCATGTATAAATACAGGTAATGCATCAGTACACTTTGAAAATGTTTTAGCCATTTGGCACATTTATCTTAGACGGTTTTGAGAGATTGTGAAAAATACTAAATTGGCATAATGGCAGGTTAAGAGACTACACTTAAAAGGATAAAAAGAAAAATCAAGCACAAATGAAACACTTCCTTAAGGACTAACACATTCCAGTGTCAGTCATATGTAGTATTATAATAAAGGTAACTAGTCCATGAACCAACTTAAATTAATACATAGTTTTAATTACTTGATCAGCTTGGCACTTGTGCCGTCATATCTCTGCCTGAACCTTCACTATTTAAGCTTAATTTAACACAAAAGAGTAGCCCAAACGTTTACAGGAGTTTGATTGGTATGGTTTTAGCAGCTTGTTAGGAGCCATTTTTATTAGAGACAATCTTTGTTTTGATTTTCTTGGATGTCAGTGTGAGAGATTATAGAGCAGTTACCACAGAAAAATTTATTTGTCTAGTTCCATCGAATTTGTACTGAGTGAAGGCCATTGTTCTTACAATATTTGTAGATGAAAGCTGGCAACACTTTTTTTTTTTTCCCCACATAGTTTTTAACATATGAAATTCATTCTGATGTGTTGCCTAAAGGCCTTTGTATGTTCATTCAGCTTAAGGTGCTCTGCAAAGACACTGTGCTGTACCTAAGTGTTTCTAAGGCGGGGAAATCCCTGACATGGTCACAAAAAATGTTATTTTTTTACAAGGTAGAGCACCATTCATTAAGTGCTGTACCAGGACAGTTGTTTTGGATATTTCCATCACATTATATTTAAAATGACAAGCAAATTTAAAGCTGGGCAGAAACTGTGCTTTTTTAAAAATATTAATCCTTTATGTTAACACAAACGGCATGTTTTTACTTGCCTTTCTGTATGGCTGGTTGCTCACACTGATCATATAAGCATGGAAGCCCTGGTTGGTTTTGTCCACTGACAGTTCCAGTAAAGCTTATTCAAACAAGATGACTGTGTACTCAGCACTGTTTAGAAAAACAGAGAGGCAGTATTACTTTGCGTAATTGTCCTATGACCAATAAGTAAGAAGAAAAACAGAAAAATATGTACCCGGAGCTGGAAGATACAGACAACATGGTCTGCCTGTTCTGTTTGCAGTTCAGTTCAGTTTTATGTCACCGCCCAGTTTTAACATTAACAACATGTAAAATACAGCTGCAGAGGTATGAAAACAAGCTCACTACAGTTCACAGCTGAACAGCAGCTATGTGGGAAATCTCGTAAAGGCCAAAGTAATGTCATACATTAATACATACGCTTTGGTAATAAACGAATTCCTCCATATATTTATTTGGTGGTTGTTAATTCCAGAAACTGGTTCCACCCCAGACCATGAATTTACAAGTGGTTTCATCCTTCTTAAACTAAGCTGGTTTCTGGTATATTGAGTCAGAGTTTTAAGCTGGAGAGATTCACATTTCTGGGGTGTGTCCGCCACACACCATCTATTCAGGTGGCAGCCAAGTGAAGGATGGCTTTTCTGTAACTTAGTTTTAGGGTAGACCCAGTGCCGCACATATTCTCGGCTTGTTTTTGCGGCCATTGGTGGAGAAATATTTACCTGTCCCATCCATCATGCTTTCTTGTCCCTCCTCCTCTTCTTCCTTCTATCTTCTCTCATCTTCTTCCTCAAGTGCCTCCGACCCCGAGTGCTTTAATCACATCAGATCATTAGACTGAGTGAATTACAGATTGGTCCTGAATGGCGCACTCTTTCTCCTGTTCAGCGTGGCACAGCTGAATGCCTTCACTGTGATTAATAAGGACACACTCAGTAATAATATAAATAAGGAATTAAAATGTGGCTGGCTGGCTGTGTAAACATCACAAGGCATGTCTGAGAGGATGGGTCCTGGGGCTCTGACAGCAGGATAAAAAGGCAGGAAGAGTAATGAGCTACAGACATGTTCTTGACATGTTCCCATTACACTCCTCTCTGAGTACACATGCACACACTTACATGCAGACATATACAATCCCATGCAAATGCATCCACTACTAATTACATGTCAGAGTTGTACACTTTATAAGTCCTGTACTTGTGACTTCTGTTGCATGAGATGTCACAATGTGAATTAGAGTGCTGTTATTATTAGACAATAATTGACTGTTCTGTTTTTTTTACTTCCTTGAATATAATTTGCTGGCATTTTAACAATGAATCTTAAACGGCTTGTTCCTTGGCTCACATTCCTTTTTCCTCCCCCCTTGTCTTGTCTGTCATCTTACATTTTGTCAAATAATAACAAACACAGGTGTCTTCTGTCTTCAAACATTTGTTAAACAGCAACAATGACAGCCATGACAGATACAAATGTCCACTTCAGACAAGACAAAGAGACTCGGGGAACAAGTTTCTGAAAGTGGAACAACTAATTAACATTGAGCTCTTGTAGCCCAGGCATGTTGGCAAGTCTTTCTCACTGTCTCTTCTGCTCTGTCTCTACCCAAATATTATCTTCACATTCTCATTCCTCAGTTGTGTCCATCTCCCCTCCAGGCGTTTTCTGTAGCAGGGCTTGGCGCAGGCCTGACTGAGGCTGTTATCGTCAACCCGTTCGAAGTGGTGAAAGTCAGTCTTCAGGCCAACAGAGACTCCTTCAAAGAGGTCGGTAGAAATAAAATACTGTCTTAATTAGTAACATGTTGGTAATGTGAACATTTCTCTTTTGTATTACCCTTTGACATATTCACTCTCTTAACACAGCAACCCTCCTCATTCGCTCAAGCCAGACTCCTCATTAATTCGGACGGTTTTGGGCTGAAGGGTTTGAATAAAGGATTAACATCGACACTGGGACGCCATGGCGTTTTCAACATGATCTACTTTGGCTTCTACTTCAATGTCAAGGATGCTATCCCTGCCAGCCCGGTAATATGTCTGTCAGAATCTGTGATCACACTCTGACCTCCTGTCCTGTTTTGGTTTTGCCTACAAATTACAACGCCAAGACAAGTGACATACACGCCACTTTAGCTTTGCTTTGTTGTTTGTAGCTTTGACTATTCTTAATTTTTGTTTCTAACCTTAAGCACTGTGATATCGATGAGTCCCAGCCATCTCGCCAGTGCGGAATAGCAAGTGTTTGACAGTATTATAATTTGGCCTGACTGCTATGGCAAGAAGGAAGCAAAATCAGAGAGGAGCTTGTAAGATCAGCCCAGCTAATACCTCGTCTTTTTGCTCTTCATAACATCCTCAAAGTCTCAGATTACACATCCGGCAGGGCCTGATGGCCCAAACAAAAGTTAATTTTGTTTAATGGAAACGGTACCATACGCCAGTTCCACATGTACAAACTGGAGCATTAAATTAACTCCAATGAACTAATTGGAAGCAGGCAGCGGTACTATTTTCAAGAGGAGGTTTACAGTTGGAGTTCGGGCTCTACTATATTTTCAACATTTTTTCCAGTGATGCATGATGTACAGACAACCAAGTGGTCATCTTCTGTGAATAATAATTATGTGGCTGGATGACTCAAATAGCTCTCTTAGATTGTGGCAGTTGCTTTTGGAAATAATCCATCAGTGTGTATGTGGAATGATCCTGTTTGTGAGAGGCTAACGACAGCCATTGTTGAGGCAGCAATGGATAAATATTGTGGCCTCCAAAAGCTTACAGACTGAGCTGATAGTGGCATCTCTCCAAAGCCCTTTTGTCAGCAACATGAGCAATGAGCTTGTAACTCAAACATGTCCATAGTCAAATTCAGCTGGCCGAGCTCAGGCTTCTCTCAGATCACCATTTGAATAGTACAGGAGAGGCAGATAGCACACTGCCATCATTCACAAGTGAACGTGTGAGGAGATGTTTGCTTAAGGCTGTTAGGAAGTGGGTTGATGGGTGTACTTAAGCTGTGGGTATGTTACCCCTTTTCCCCACATCCCACTTGAAAAAAAGATAGAAGTGGGATTAGCTGTTGATTTACCTCAGCTCTCAGGGCGTCCAGTCGCTTGAGAAAGGCCTGGACCAGAGAGGCTGCTGTCATTTGTAAAAATATCCTGGCCAATTAGCTGTCAGAGCTCTCTGAGTCTGGGCTTCTTTGGTACAGTAATACCCCTGTGCCAAGTCACAGCCCAATTACCCAAATTGTCCCCATATGCCTCCACAGTCTGCCTGCATGAACCGTGTTTATAAATCCACTGTCTTGACTCCCCAAAGAACATGTGCTTCTGCTCAGCCAATCAAAATGCTGCACCACATTCAGGAAGCACTAATCTGCCCCCCGCTACCATAAAATGATCAGGGCTTTCATGCCAGCTTTGCAATCATATGGACAAGCCCCCTCCTGCTCTCCCTCACTTTTGCTCACATGCATATACACATAATGTCCTGCTATATATTCTGTCAACTCTGTGACGCTACTTTACCTTTAGTTATGTTTTGTACCACCAGGTTCAACACCCACTGCCCATTTTATATATATTTCCAATATAATGGTGCTTTCTGAATACATGTGTGCAGCTAACAAATACAATATATTATTTTAATCTTGAATTTCATTTTCTTTACCAGGACCCTACCCTTGAGTTCCTGAGGAAGTTTACTATTGGTCTGGTGTCTGGGACCATCTCCTCCTGCGTGAACATTCCCTTCGATGTAGCCAAGAGCCGCATCCAGGGCCCGCAGCCAGTGCCAGGAGAAATCAAGTACCGCACCTGCTTCCAGACCATGGCGCTGGTGTACCGGGAGGAGGGGTAGGAACAAGGGGGATTAAGTTGAGGATCCTCAGTGCATCTGAAAATAAATAAGATACTTTGGTTTTTTAGCAACTGATAGTTGGTTATCTGCTAAACTGGCTCAGAAAAGGCAAATCTACAAGCTGCAGATACAAGCTTGATTGTGCAGTGCGAGTTTCCTACACTAACTACAAGGGAAGTGCATGAATAGCTTGATGCAAAGCTGTGATCTGATAATTGCAAGCCAAATAGTAGCATTGGATTCTGGGCAGTATTTGCCATGTGATCACAGATTTCTGCAGACTGTCAGTTGTACAGTAAATGTTAACATATTTTCAAGCCTCAGAGAATGACAACTCTAAATGGAAGCTTCAAGGAAAGATTTATGTTTTGTTAGCCATTGCCCCAGGCTTCCCACTTTCCCCCATGCAGCTCCACTAGACAAGGGCCAGCGAGATGTTTGTAGTTAGTGGACACAGGAGCCTTGGTGCCTGCAGCAGTAATGGCACTGAAGCGTTGTCGTCACAGGGGTGCGTGGAGAGTGCTCCCTAAGCCACATCTAGTCTAACACAACACAGTACCAGCTAATTAGTGGTCCCTATGGGAGATGTCGTTAAGCAGACCCTAACGAGCCGCACGGCGCTCCACGGGTCAGTCTAATCAGACAGAGGGCCAGGGAGGAAGTGGGTCGAGCCTTATTAACGCCATCAGGGGCGGGGGCAGGGAGCGAGACAGGGAGCACGAGGCGGAGGCAAGCAGCTGCTGATCACCTTGAATGCATTAAGGGGCAGGTACTCATCAGTGCTGGCCTTCAACTATGTACCTGACTCTGATGAGAGACAAGCAGACAGACAGGCAAGAACTTACTCATACCAGCCGATACACACATACTATAGGAACGTATGGGTCTTTTGATTTCAGTACTATACCGCATAGAAATACTCTAACGGGTACAGTAAGTCATGCACAAGCATTAAATAAATGCTTATTGATGAAGCCTGTCAGAATAATGTTTTATAGTTAACATGTACAGTAACTGTTAATGTGTACATCATTTTAATGTTGCAGTCATTAAAGATGGAGCTAATTTTGATTTATATAATGCTGTGTAGCTTGTGAATTCCCCCCCCCAATGCAGTTGTATCTCATCTTAATATATGGCAATACTTAATTATTAACTTGTTTATTATACTGTCTTTTACTAATATGAACCTGCAAAGCAACAAATAAGGGAAGTTATGAAATAAATGTATCCGAGTAAAAATTCCAGTGTTTGTTTCTGAATTGTGTTGGCGTTGAAGTATCAAGTAGCAGAAAATAGAAATACTGAAGTACCTAAAAATTCTATATAAAATACATTTTATTTGAGTAAATGCATATATTTACTAATTTCCTTTGCACAACTGTATGCATGCATACATATGTCCAGTACACAATTTGAAAATCTTCCACAATTAGCATATTCTGGGTTTGTAACTATGGTGTTTGTACCTGCACAACATTAATGTCCTGTTTCTTTTATTCTAGGTATTTGGCACTGTACAAGGGGCTAGTTCCCAAGATAATGAGGCTTGGACCAGGTAAGATTGGTAACCACTATACATGTGTATGCTTGTTTGCCTGTGAACGTTCGAATGATTAATCGAGATAAAGCTTCCTAAAGCACATTACAACTTTGCTTGAGTATTTCCAGTGAAATGAAGCAAAGATTTTCATGTTTACATTGTGTTTTTTTTCCCTGATTTATCTGTAATGTTTGAAAGAAATACTGTGAGCTAGTGACACTGCCTGACCCTGTTGCAGACGGAGGCTACAAGCTGTTGATGGATATCTATAATATGTACCTGTGTGTTCTATAGAGATCGTACGTGTTGGGGCAACAGAGCCACTTTTTGCACTCTGCGTTTTAGGTCACATGACACTAACCGTGAGCTTCTATTGGTTGAGTAGATTGTATTCCTTATTCACTACCATGGGATTATGGGTTTGTTCACTGTGGCTCTCTTTTATGTTCTATTACAGGTGGGGCAGTGATGCTGCTGGTCTATGAGTATGTGTCTGGATGGCTACAGAGGAATTGGTAATGAGAATTATGCCTCAGTGCTGATATTGTTAGCTAATTCTAGACCAAATAGTTTTTAGTTAGTTTGTTTACCTTTCATACTGATGTACTGATTTGCAAAATACAATTCACCATTTTGAAATATCTTAGCAGCTTTCTATGAAACAACCTCTAAAAGCCCACAACTTCATCCAAGGCAATTTCTCAGGAGTTAAAAACAGCTATGATATTTGAATATTGCCAAAATGCATTTATGATATAAAAGGGGTTTTTGAAAGCCCCTAACCCTGTTCTTCAGTCAGCAGAGTCCTCCATGAACACAGACTTTTCCAAACTGTTTTGTTATCTCATGTTATAGTTCATGCTTTTTTTTCTGTGCTCTTCTGACTGGTTTGAAGTTGGGCGGTGCCCAGTTGGGAGGAAAGTTGTATTCTAATATGAACCACTAAGAGTTGGGCAATATTTGATCAGAATCTGATGACAGTTCAGGGGTTGTTTACTCCTGCTGGTATCACTGTGTCTATCACATACACTGTCTTGATAGAGCAGATTATATGTGTTTGAGAATTACTCATAAGGATTATTAATAATGCTTCATTACTTTAATTCAGATTTCTGCTTATTTAGTCAAATAATTTTATAGAGAAATATTTAAACCAAATTTTCAGGACTTTAATGTCACAGACTGTCAAAGTAAAAAAACCTTGACCTTATACTACATATATTATATTATTATTGTATTGCTGTGCAGTTAGTATGACGAAACTTGAAAATGTACTGAGTGCAGACTTCTCTCAGTTCCTGCTCGACTCAAATATCCATCCATCCATTTTCCTCCGCTTATCCGGGACCGGGTCGTGGGGGCAGCAGTTTTAAGCAAAGATGCCCAGACTTCCCTCTCTCCAGACACTTCCTCCAGCTCCTCCGGGGGAATGCTGAGGCGTTCCCAGGCCAGCTGAGAGACATAGTCCCTCCAGCGTGTCCTGGGTCTTCCTCGGGGCCTCCTCCCGGTGGGACATGGCCGGAACACCTCAAATATAACTTGTCTCTTAATGTAATGTGTCTGTGTAGGAACAGGAGTCAGCACCAGTACATCCAGCCTCTATAGCTATGCACATGCACACATGTACTGAGCCTTAATGTACTCAGACAAACCAAACAGTTGATATAGTGCCTAATAAATTTTAATGATGTGTATAAGAATTTTTTATTCACCACTGTTTTTGAGGCCTATTGTTGAGTCTTTTTGTCATGACTCACATTTTTATGTACCTCAGTTAAATTGGGTTAGTACGAAATTTTTATTTTTCAGAATTGTATTGATAAGAATTTGTGTTGATTTGTATTTTTAAATCTCGTTTTAAAATATTAGCAATTGAGGAAGGTTTCTTGCCATATACAGGTAACAAAGAAAAAGAAATAAACTCCTCACTTGTAAAATCTGTAACCATAAGTTTGTTTTGCTGTATCTTTGTGTTCTCAGTGAGTATGTCAGCTTGGCATTGATGTGAGCATATCAGCTTTCCTCAATTAAGCTTCTTCACCGTGCTCCTTGTCTTTTCCCCCATTAGAGCACTTTGTTGTTTGAGAACCTGTCAGCCGTGGATACCGTATTAGCCAAGTGTCATTCTTTTCTCTCTCTCTGTGGCGGGGAGTTGATGCCTGAGCATAGCTTGAGTGCAAGCTAAAACAACATGCTCGAGAAATTCAAATGTGATTGCAGGTCTGGAGGAGGTTACCACGCAGATTCTGTGCTGCCAGTCGATCTCTTACACATGAATGCAAACATACACACACCTCTTGCACAGCGTTAGGGGTAGTGGCTGCTCTCTGTGAGACTCCTCTTAACCTCATCTGGTCGCCGCTTATACTGATCCACGTTGGCATTTAACAGCCATCGGTAATGTGGGAGTTTCTCTCTACCAGAATGGAGCAGCTTCTGGTTTTGTGCCCAGGGGTCTGTGGTGATGGACTTAAAAACTGTGGCTTGCAGACCGATGGAATTGTAAGCGCTTAACCTGTCCTTTCTGTAATGCGTTTGTATGTTTGGTTCGGACTTGACAGCTTATAACGTGTGCCGCTGGTAGCGAAGCAAGAGAGTTACCCTTCACCTGGATTTCCTGCACCATGCTGATCATAAATCTGGAGTAGAAAAGTCCCCTTCTCCTCATTTTCCTCACACCTTTGCCATTATGACCCTCATCATAACATAATATTTCAATCGAGCGGTTCCACTCTGCGAGGTGGTACCTGTTTTTCACAGTGCAGATGTGGCTAATGACTAATATGTATTAAGATGTTCAGGATCGACACAGTAAAAAAAAAAAAAAAAGCAGTGATTCATTTCAGGTTGCTTAAACAGTGGATCCGTTTGCATGCATACAAAAGACATCCCGATGTGTTGTGATTTTCCAAATTGCCCAAACCCCCCCCCCCCCAAAAAAAAGAGGTTCTACTCACCTGTCTGCTCAGTGTTGCTGTTTTAAGGCATTAAGAAAACATTCTGGCTGTTGTCAGCTCCTTTTAAAAATGTTCATTGAGCAGAAACACACATGAAGTCCTGTGTTTACCCAGCGTTACATACTCTGCTCTGTGTTACTCTGCAAATGGCTGTCTTGGTTCTGATTGCATGTGGAGAAGTAAAGATAACCATATGACACTGAAGTCAGACTCAACATAATTAATTACAAACACGTGTCTACCCCTATTTTTAAAACTACACTTTTTAGACCTTGCTTCTGTAAAGCTGACCAACGTTACACTACAAGAGCAAAGATTATTAGACTTCGGAGAAGCTATTCCTACTGTCTAGAGCTCACTCTGTTCTTATTTTATAAATACTGCTGTCAGTTAACACAACCGCATTTTAATTTTGTTGTATGAGTCAGAGGAGGCTAACAAAGCTGCACTCAGTTCATGTAGCTTAGTTGAAAGAAAACATTGTTTGGTCTTGTTGTATATAAGCTGAGGTTTTTTTTTAAAAAAAAAAGCAGAGAATGACTTTTTCATGCCACTCAGATTTGCTGTACATGATGGATGGTGCAGGGTAAAGGGGGTGCCGTGAGGGAGCGAGTGTGTGATCATCACGTCCCTGTGATGTGGTTCACATACAGCCAAAGATCCCTGAGCAACGGTCCGTGACCACTGGATGCTGGGAAGAGTGCTTTCCAAGTCAAATCAGCTCCTGCATAAGGAGGACTGTTGACACTGTCACATGGACGGACTGTTTATGCTGTAACACAGGAGGAATGGCAACATGGGTCCATACCTAAAGCCACCACCTCCTGAATCCTCAGCAGCAGGTAGTTCTATGTAAAAGAGCAGTTGACCATTTTTATAAACTTATCAGTCACCAACTGTGTGTTCACACTGGAGACCAGTTTGTGTTATTCTCTGGTTTCCACTGCAGGGCTAGACAGGACTTGCCAGACTCACTCATAATTTATTACACACACACACACACACACACACACACACCAAAAAAAGAAACCTTTTATAAATCACTTTTGCATAAATTTGCTAATGTGTTATTAGTTGGCCTGTGTGCTTTTCTCTTGTAATGAACACAGTGAGTTGGCCCTGATGAGCTCTGTTTGGGCCTTTTGTGGCTGCTGAAGGTTGGCGTTCGGGTGACGTGTCTGACGACCCTGCAGGTCTCTGAGCCTGTATGTGGCTCTCTGGATGTGCATGGACTCCACCTGACCCAGATGTTTGGGAGTCATTGGCACACTCACCTCAGCTTTTAATGCAGCAGTGATGTTCTGATTTACTGTTTTCCACTTGTCTAAATCCAAATTGAAAATTACTTTTCATACAAAACTTACCCGGAAAAATTTGTGCAAATTATAATGCATGACAGATGACCTTCACTCTTATTTATGACGCATAGTAGGGAATTCAAATACGTGGCACTACCATTGTGAAATTTACTGAAGGCAGTAAATATCAATATTTTTAGTTGGCAGGTTGTTTTTGTTTTTATTTTAGCTCAAAAAATTGTTTAAATATCAGCTGTTCAAGAGAATAAACAGTGGTATTAGGAAATGTCTATTTTGGTAATATTACAGCATTTAAAACGTACCACTTTGTGCTCAACAGAAAATGTATTTTTGGCTGAATTTAATTGAAAAAATAAGCATAATTTTGTAGGACTAAATTCTGAATGAAATGTATAACTGAATTTATTATTCCCTTGTGACTCAGGTATGTTTTTATGAATATAGAAGAGCCTATATTATACTGTTGTGAGAGGACGTTTACCTGCACTGTGCTATTTTAATGGCCAAAAGATTTTATTAGAATCGTTTTATGTGGTGAAAGTGTGAGTGCTCAAAGCATATATAGATCAACTTTCCTAGTGAGCTGTGACACGTGGTAACAGAAAGTACAGGCGATTTATGCTTTTTGTTTTTTTATGAAAAGCAGTTTCCTGCTTATGTAAAACAGGGCAGTTGGCTGCAATGCCCAGAATGTAACATAGCTACGCTGCCAGAAAGACAGAGAGTGGAAAGATAAATATTTTTTAGCTGCAGTAAACTTCGTCTGTTCTCATAATAAAAAGTTTTGAGGAATCCCCGCAAACAATTGGAAAACTCCATGAAGACCAAAAACAGCCAAACAGTTTAATAAGATACATTCAATTTCATTGTGCAACATTTGTCAATTGTTAATTCTCTAGAACATAAGACCAATGCCAATTTTGTCTAAACATGCTTGGAGATTCCCATGCTGTCTGTAAGGCTAATTGCACTTCATTTAACGTACCTTAATCTAATAAATAAACTTCTCTCTGGAGCTCTTCCATATGCTACATTTAAGGAGAAGTGAGAAAACAATGCACCAGATAGTTACTTTTATCAAAACATAATAAAAAGCATACAAACATAAAACATAAGCCATTAATAAGCACCCTGAAAACACTAATGCAAAGTTTTTTTCCCCTCTTCGCTGATTGCCTATTCATGAATTTATACATTACCCCATTTTGCCCAAAGACATTTGCAGAAGTGTGCAGTAAAGAATCTGGGAGGAACCGTGTTGATGGAGGGAGTAGCAGTCATTCATCAGTCCTTCAGTACACCTGTCCTGCACGTTCTTTCAGACAAGTTTGTAGTAAAAATTGACATACTGTTTATTCCTTGTATGTCTTTAGTCGGTGTGTAGGTGGAAGGAGGAGGGAGGGTCACGTACAGAACAGCACAAATGTGGGTCCTGGGGCTGAGTTTTTCATAGAAAGGAGGCAGTGGGAATGAAGTGAAGCCACAGGGGGACAGACTTGTTGTCTCCTGTCCCTCGCCATTTCTCACCTACTCCCCCCGACCTTCCCCCTCGTTCTCCTATTAGCCGGCAGAGCTGACTTCACAGCACCGAGGCGGTGACCGGGTGGATGGCGTCACGGTTGGCTGTCATGCCCCTGAAAGCCAGAGGGGTGGCGATGTCACAGCTGTGGGGAGATAGAGCACTGCCACTGGCTGGCTGCCACGTGGGTCCGGTCACATAGGCCGACGTGGTGGCGCTGTACCCCATGTAGGGTGACACTTGGGTGGGAGGGTGGTAGGGTGGGATGCTGGGTGCTGTGACATAGCTGTTCACTGTGGGCAATCCATTCGGCGTCTGAGAACAAAAGAGGCAATAATAAAAGGTGAAGATTTAAGGTCACTGATAATTTGGCTTCCTTCTGGGTGAAGAAATCATGGTCAGTGATTTTCATTATTTAGTTTTCCTCAGCACTGAAAAAGAGAATCAGCCACAGAAATTTCCTCGAATGTAAACGGTTGTTGTAGTGACCCTGATCCACATAACCACACACAAGGAGCTGAGTAGGAATGGAAAAAGCTGAGGCAAGCTGTAGGAGAAAGTGAAAGGAAAAGTGATGTTGAATTATAAACAGGAAAGACTTGAGTTCTACATCACAGCCACCACAAAAAAAACCCATTTCCCAATTTTGTTGAAAGGATTAATGATCAATTATTCACTCTCATGCTCCTGGAACATATTAAACATATATTAAAAAAAAAACAACATATATGCATGATTGCTTGTCTGTATATCTCACTTATTTTCTACCCCAAAGTGGACATTTCTCTGGCAGCGTCCATATATATGGCGGCGGACGGTGGGAGACATGCTGGTTGGGGGTGCCACAAAACAGATGTCACGGGAGATTGAGAGTGAAAGGCCAGGGAGAGGGGAAATATGATAGAAAATGAGGCAAACATAGTGTTCGAAGCATGAATGGGCTTTGCTTCTCTGGCACAGCGACAGGACTTAACTTGAGGAATTCACCAAAGCATTTCAACAGGGAGGCGGAATTTCTGTTCTTGGGTGGTCTGTGACTACTGAGAATTATTTCACCAATCAGGATCTTTTCTGGTCCTTTGACTTATTTTCTTAAATGTGCTCAACTGGCAGTCAGACTATTTTTCTAAAAATATACTTTATACTGACATTTGTGGTGATTGTAAAACAAATGTAAAAACTGGGTTTGTCTGTGTGTGTGTGTGAGTGTGTGTGCGCACATGCTTGTGGGTGCCTGTGTTTGTGTCTTTTGGCTAAATAATTTTGCAGATAAACTCATATAGTGCTACAGAGGAGAAGTACAGTATGGAACACATGCAGCCACAGTTCATACACCCTTACAGTTTGTACATATATGAATAAGCATATTGTACATGCAGGCTACAGTACATTTCTACTGTATATACAAAATAACAGTAAGCACTTCTCAGTATAATTCAGTCCACTACTACAAGAACACCACCAACTACCACCTCACAAACCACAGACTTATATGAACACCTGTCTAAGACAAAGTCAACAAAATGTAAAAGGTTTACAAAGGGTGTATTTATGGCGGTGCTCTGGTGTCCGATTGCATCGTTTGTTTAGGTGTACCTGTTATTTTGTCCACCCCTCCTCCACCACCCATTATCTAAGTGAATATATACTTGTACACACTTACTATACTATATGAAAACTTTGGAATCTAGGGATGTGGTTTGTTTAATGTGTAAATGGTTTAAAAAGTATAGCTTGTACTAACTAAATAATAGCGTTTGTCTTGTATTCAAATGGTCTAAATGCGTCATATATTTTACAGTAGCCTAATAATAGATTAGTTTAGGCTCGTTACATGTGAATAATAGGCCGTCTGCCTTGGTGTTTTGACCCCTTTTTGAATTAGTTATTACACATAGCTAAACCAGAATGTCAGTGAATAAAAAAGGCACCGACTCCTTAGGAAACAACTCCAACGGAGTCGCCTCGTCACGGTTTGTTTCATAGAACTCATTAAAACGTCTATATATTTTTAAACGCCGACGTCCGAGCTTGTGATTTAACCTTAAACCTATTTTTATGATGTTTTTCCATCTTCTTTTTCCAGAGAAAACCCCGAGTCCCATGGGTGCATCTGCCCTCTGCGCAGCGCCTATAGGCCGCACTAACCTCAGCCTTTTAGTCTTATAGAGGAATAAGTGGATGTGATTTAGGCCTGCTCATGTGTGACAGAAATAAAAAAGACCTTGGAGGTTTTCAGTGTCCAGTTTAAAATTAGGAACTGATTAGAATTAAGCCTAGCTGTAATAAAAGTAGCATCTTGTTTTGCAGTTTCAAAATGAAACTTGGAAACGGGGCTGATATTTTAACGCGATCATTGCATGACCTTTCTGTCTTTTCCTACATCTGTCTGCCTCACAAACACAAACTCCACATCTCTTTAACATTGGATCTCAGCAGCTTGCAGTAGCTGACTGTATTAAAGCTGTGACAAAGCATAATTAGTTCTTCGAGTCATTTGGTGGAGCAGTACTTTCTCCATCATTTTGTTTTGTTTTTCGTGCTTTAAACTAACGCACACACACACACACGGTTGTTATTGTCTGCATTTAACGGCCCCCTTCGGTTTGTGTGTAGCTGCCAACTCCTCAGTTAGTGTGTCCACTTGGCGCTTCCTAATCTCACAGCATCGGCCCCGGTTTTGTGTAATGAGCATTAAAATTCGGCCGCGATAAACTGGCAAAATAATGCCCCATAAAATAATTTGTTCGCCCACCAAAATAAGAGAGGAAAGCACGCACGCATGAGCGTACACATCCTGGCATCATTTGGTACCTGTAGATAAACAAAAATAAAACCCCATGAAGAGAGTTTCCTGTCCAAAACTAAGTTTATGTAAAGTAGCCTAGAGAAAAATGAATAAAAATCTGAATTGGTTTTGGGACTTAACTTCATTTATAAGAATCGGGTGTTTTGATCGTTTAAAATTAAAATACGGTACAATAATGGCAGAACATGGCCTTTTTTGGATGAGGCGTGCAAAACATCTCTAAATAGGCCTGCGTGACAGAAACAGCTGATAAACTACTGTTATTTTTTTTCATAATAAACCTAAAGAATGTTTATGCAGTGGTCAGATGTTTCTCCTTTGCAGTTCAATGTTCAGTCTCAGACTCTGCTTGGACTTCAGCTGCAAGCAGCCTATTAAAAATAAAACTCTACCAAGAAACTGACAACAGGTTCGTTTGCTGACTCTTTTATGGGCCCAGTCAGTTTATGAGTTAGACTACAATTAATTTAAAAAAAATCCAGAAAGCTTAAAAAATAAAAACCACATTCAAAACTCTTTAACCTACTAATTACTTATAATACGCCCCGTAATGATTGGACAAAGCACTGGCCACGCTGCAGAACCTGCAGGAAGTGCACATTACAAAGGCTAAAATAATACGATATAATTATTTTATGCACCCATTACCAGCTAGCCAACAGAAGGAGCGCATTAATGCTGTGAAAGGGGAAATTTCCAGGCCACATAATTATTCAAATAATATTAAAATATATATATATATACTCAAGAGTGCAATTAGATGAGTAGTCTGACTGCCAGATGTCTGGATGGACTGTTTTTACTTTTGTTGCATTCGAGGTTACAGAAATGAGGTGTCCATTTTTTTTTTACCTGTGTGTATTTTGCTTCAGGTTCTAAATGCGGTTTATCCATGCCATTGACTAGTGGAGAACTTGCTGGTGGGAAATTAGTCCTGTTTATAGCGCTCCATTCTTCTAGTTTGGCGGTGGGAAAGGATGGACTGTCACTAACTGGGGGCAAAAGAGAGAGAAGAGAGGAAAGTCAGAGAGGAGTTCTGAGGATTAGGGGGGGAAATGACCCGCACAGGCCGCAGCTTCTCATGCAGACACCAGGCCCAGGATAGCCAGGCTGCATGAGACAGAATCAACCCTGACGATTCGCACTGCACAGTTGTTACTTTACGCACACAGGCCTTATATCTCTGTGGGCTTTCGTGTGCGTAAAGATTTTATGAAGCGTTACTGTTCATCAGTTAAAATATCAGTTTAGCATCCTGTTACACATCTGATGTTGTCTTGACAATTTTCTCAAATTGTCTGCAAGTGAGATACCTAATTAAAGCACAAGTCAGAGGTATTTTCGCTTGTTTTAGTAATCTTCTTAAACTTAATCAGGCCTCACGTTTTTCTGTTAAGAGTTCTCCACATGAATACTGAGGAAAAATTCAATGAACTGTCCCATTGTATCACTGGCCTTAAATGGTTTTTCTCCTCCTGAAGATTGAGGCCCCACTTAATTTAGAAAGAGGAAAGAAACACTCTAGTAGGTCAGGGATATTTTAGCCCACCAAAAGGTCTTCCTGTTGGGGGG